ACATAATTTAACTCCCTTTTTTCCAATTTGGATGTCTTTTGTTCCTTTCTCCTGCCTGATTGCTTTGGCTAAAATTTCCAGCAATGTGTTTAATTGGAGTGATGAGAATAAACTTTTTTTTTTGTTTGTTTCAGTTCTTGGGGTAAATGCTTTCAACTTTTTCCCATTCAGTCTGAGGTTGACTGTGGGTTAATCATATATGGCTCTTTTTATTTTGAGACATGTTCCATCTGTACCTAGATTGTTGAGGATTTTTTTTTTCATCATAATGCTGGGTTTTATTGAATTATTTTTCTGCATCAGGTTTGATGTTGATACGTGAGGTATTGTATGTGTCGTGGTATTGCTAGCCAGTCATTTTGGAGTTTTGATTTTGCAATTGCTTTATAGGATCTGTGAGTTTTATATTCATCTTTCATTTATACTGATGAGTTTCACTCTTTCGTTTCCATGTTTAGAACTCCTTTGAGCATTTCTTATAGGTTCAGCTTAGTGATGACAAATTTTCTTAGCATTTGGTTGTCTTGGAAAGGCTTTATTTCTCCCGATTTATGAAGCTTAGTTTGGCAGGACATAAAATTTTTGACTGGAATTCTTTTTATTTTAAACAAGGTAAATATATGCTCCCAATTGATTCTGGCTTATAGAGTGTCTGTTGAGAAGTCTGCTGGTAGTCTGAACAATTTTTAAATGTATAATATGACCCTTTTCTCTAGCTGCCTCTAATATTTTTTTTTTTTTAGTGTTGACTTGGATGGTCTAATGACTATATGCCTTGGTGATGCTTATTTAATAAATTAAATACTATTTTCTTAAACTTTCTAAACTTTACCCTTGTATGTACTCACATTTTCTAAAATATATGTTGGTTTATGTATAAGGATTCACTGCCATTGAGAGGCAACACTGAGTGCTCTGGAGTTAGACCCTCTGGGTTTGAATCTTGGCTTCATTACTTACAATCTGTGTGGGAAGGGCAAAGGTCTAGCCTCTAGTGCATCTGCGAAATAGGAATCACAGTGCCTGCCTCCCAGTGTCGTGAGTAAAAATGAGAACATAATCAAATGTACACTGCTTGGCATAGAAAAAATCTCTCAATAAATGTTATGACTACTACCCACTTTTAATAATTATTAATGATTCACTTGGTATTTTAATATCAAGTTTTTTTTTGCCATAAGCAAAAGAATATAGACTTGCTTGTAATTCATTTTTCCTATCCGAACTGGTATTTTAATATCAAGGTTTTTGTCCTGAACAAAAGAATAATTTATACACTTGCTTATAATTCATTCTTTGTATCTGAAGGCAAGATTGCATAGTTCATCAGGATGACACTCATTGCCTTCCAGTGATTGTTGTCCTTATTTTGAAAAGAAAAGGAAAAATAAGGAAATAATTTTTTTTTTTTTTTTTTTTTTGAGATGGGGTCTTGCTCTGTTCCCCGAGGCTGGAGTGCAGTGGTGAAATTTCGGCTTGCTGCAACCTCTGTCTCGCGGGTTCAAGTGATTTTCCTGCCTCGGCCTCCTGGGTAGCTGGGACCACAGGTACACACACCATGCCCGACTAATTTTTTATTTTTAGTAGAGATGAGGTTTTACCATGTTGGCCAGACTCGTCTCATATTCTTGACCTCAATTGATCTACCCGCCTTGGCCTCCTAGAGTGCTTGGATTGTAGGAGTGAGCCACTGCACTCGGCTGAAGGAAATGAAATATTAAATAGCAAGGTTCTTGGGCACTAGTACTTTGAAAATTCTATATATTTTGTAAAATCAGCATGTATTAACATTTTTTACATTCATATTGACAAAACACAACATTTATTTTACATTATTATATTGTCTGTATTCAAAGTCCCCAATGACTATTGAAATGTGACAGCTTTTATTTTGGATTCTACAGATTTTAGGTATATTTATGAGCTTTTAGGAAGAGACCATGATGCCAATAATTGGGCATGAATGAATGTCTCTCTTTCTTTGTGCGTGTGTGTGTGTGTGTATGTGTGTTTGTGTGTGTGTGTGTGTGTAGTGTCTACGTGTAAAAACAGGGGTGGGGATTGTTAGAGTTCTGTCATGACGTTTTCTTTCTTCTATTACTTTATTTTCTTATGTAAAATACACTGTTATCTGGCTTAGGAGAAATAAAGAACTGTATAAGAGGGCTTAATGATGCAGTATTTGTTACAGATTTCTTATATACAATTATGTATATAATTGTATATTTGCTTTTAATCTCTCATGCTCCAGGAGAAAAACAATTGCTTGCAACTTTCTACTTAACCTTTTATTCCATGAACTCTTTTGACTGGAAGTGGATAGGCTACGAAACTTTAGATAATAAGCTCTGTCCCAAGACAGATTCTTTTTTTTTTTGAGAGATTCTTAGTGAAGGCACCATGGTTACATTCTTTCTATGTACAGTTGATCCTTGAACAATATGGTGGGCTAGAGGCACTGACCTTCTGAGCAGACAAAAATTTGCATATAAATATGATTCTTTTGAAACTTAACTACTACTAGTAGGCTACTATTGACCAGAAGCCTTACTGATAACATAAACAACACAAATTTTGTATGTTACATGCATTATATACTGTATTCCTACAATAAAGTAAGCCAGAGAAAAGAAAGTTATTAAGAAAATCATAAGAAGAGAACAGATATTTGCTATTCATTAAGTGGGAGTGGATATCAAAAGTTTTTCATCCTCATCTTTATGGGTTGAGTAGGCTGAGGAGGAGGAAAAGAAAGAGGAGTAGGGTTTGCTGTTGCTGTCTTAGGGGTGGCAGTGGTACAAGAGGTTGAGGAGTTAGAATGAGAAACACGCTTAGGGTAACTTCACAGAAATAGATTGCAATTTCTTTCTGGCTCTTCTGCTTCTTCATTTCTTCAAAAATGCTCTATATGGTAGCAATCCTTCCACCATTTGCTTTAGCTTCAGTGCCTGTATAATAGAAGGGTCCAAGTCATAAAAGAAGTCAAAAACAATTTTGAATAATGAAACCCTTCAGCCAGATGGTCTAATGTCAGTTTTTTGTTTTTTTTTTTCTGGCACTGCTTCTTTTGCATTTTCTTCCTCATTGTCTGATGCTGGTTCAAACACATTCATTTCCCTCAAGTGCTTTTATCTTAATTTCCCTGGCGTGGTGTCTATTAGCACTTGAATTACTCTAAGATCCATATGTTTAAAACCTTCACCTCCAACCTATTGCCGTATTCACTATCTCTTTCATGATTTCCTTGATTGGCTCTGTCATAACTCCTGTGAAGTCATGCATAACATCTGAACACACTTTTATCCAGCAGAAATTTATTCTTTGGGGCTTGATGGCTTAGAGAACCTTTTCCACAACAAGGATAGTATTGTCAATGGTGTAATCCTTCTTGACTCATAATATTTCTTCTGTCGGAGGTCTCTTTCACAGAGTTCGCAATCCTTTCCATAGAGTACCAATCATAACAAGCCTTAAAGGTCCTTATGACTTGCTGATCTAGAGAATGGATTAGAGATGTTCTGTTTGAAGGTAAGGAGACCACCAAATTTTGGGGATTTCAATTCGAGATAAGATTTCAGTGTTAAACACATGAAGTTCTGTGGCCAGGAGCATTGTACAATATCAGAAAAACTTTAAAAGGTAGTCTCTTACTGGAAAGATACTTCCTGATTCCAGGGACAAAACACTGATGGAAAGGGGTTCACATTGTCCAGGCCTTCTACTTGTACAATCAGAAGGCTGGCAAAAGGCTGGTGTTTATCTTTTTCCTTCAAGGCTGGGGCAAAAGGCTGGTGTTTATCTTTTTCCTTCAAGGCTAGGGGATTAGCAGCATTATGGATTTAAGAAGTCTTTAGCATAAACTCAACTTTTTCTTAAAACAGTGCAGTTAACCTGGACTTTCCTGCCCTCAATTCTGGTGTTCTCTTCTAATTGTTTTCTTCTAATTGAACCTATGATCTTCTTTGTATCTTATAAACTTGCCTATGCCTTGTGTTTAGCTATTTAAGTGCTTTCCTTTCTTTTCTATGTAATTAATTTTAGCATTTCAATGCAGCGTGTACTAGGCTGTTCTTGCATTGGTATAAAGAAATACCTGAGACAGTAATTTATAAGAAGAGAGGTTTAATTGTCTTACCGTTCTGCAAGCTTTACAGGGAACTTGGTACTGGCATCTTCTCAGCTTCTGGTGACGCCTTAGAGAGCTTTTTATCGTGGTGAAAGGCAAAGAGTGAATAGGCACGTCACATGGTGAAAGCAGGAGCAAATGAGAGAGGTAGGAGATGCCACACATTTTTAAATGGCCAGATCTCATAAAACTCACTTAATATCGTGAGGACAGCATTAAGCCATTCAAGAGGAATCTGCACCCATGACCCAATCACCTCCCACCAGGAATCACCTTCAACGTTGGAGATTATATTTCAACATTAGATTTGGGTAGGAGAAATACCCAACTATAACATTTCACTTCTGCCCTTCCCTTCAAATCTCATGTCCTTCTCACATTGCAAAATACAATCATACCTTCTCAGTAGTCCCTTAAAGTCTTAACTTATTCCAGTATTAAATCAGAAGTCCCAGGTCTAACTCCAAAGTCTTATTTGAGACTCATCTTCTTCTACCTATAAGCCTGTAAAATCAAAATGAATTATTCATTTTCAAGATACAATGGGAGTGCAGGCATTGGGTAAACATTCCTGTTCCAGAAGGAAGAAATCAGCCAAAAGAAAGAAGTTATGCATTCCATACAAGTCTAAAACCCAGTAGGGCAATAATTAAATCTTAAGCTCTAAAATAATCTTCTTTGGCTATGTGTCTCACATCCAGGGCACACTGGTGCAAGGGGTGGACTCCCAAGGCCTTGGGCAGCTCCACACCTGTGGCCTTATAGGGTTCACCTGCATGGATGGCTCTTCTCACAAGTTGTTGAGTGCCTACCCCTTTTCCAGGTGCAGGGGGCAAGCAGCTGGTGGATCTACCATTCTAGAGTCTGAAAGACTTGGAGAATGTAAGCCATCAGCTTTGATGGCTTTCATGTGGTATTAAGCCTGCAGGTGCACAGAATGTAAGTGTGGTAGATCTTGGCAACCTCCACTTAGATTTCAGAGGACATAGGGAAAGGGCTAGGTGTCCAGACAGAAGCCTGCTACAGGGATGGAGCCCTCACAGAGAACCTCTGTTAAGGTAGCTTAGAGGGGAAATGTCGGATTGGAGGCCCCATGCAGAGTCCCTATTGGGACTGGCTCCCTTTTAATTATGGAAATATCTCTAGCAAGTGGTTGCTTTACAGCCCGCTTAGGTGAGTTTGCTGAATGTCGCCATGGACACAGTGTAAAATACCACTCCCTTGAGAGCAACTTCCACTGCTGCTACAGCCAGGGGTATTTTCTGCAGAATATCCCACGAAGCTTCCATTCCTATTAGGATTAGAAGGTACTGAAGCTAGAAGACCTAGTCCTCTATATTGTGAAAGCTGCTGATAGGTCTGTTTCACTCTTTCAATATTCAAACGACTTGCCTCAGCATGCTTCACCACTAGTTTAGGATAATTAACTCCTATCAAACATTTGGCTACCTTTTGGATACCTTCTGGTGCATTCCAGGGATCATAGATATATTTTGCAGGGAAGCCTCTTAGGACAGGCAAATAACACGTGATATAGTCTCCATTAGGATCTGTTCTCCTATTAAAACCAATAGGGCAATAGCAGTGATAAAACTGTTGAAAAAAGGAACTGCAAGATAGCCACATCTGACTTCCAGTATTTATGTTCCAATCTGCATCACGCAATAATTCTTCAAATACCTTCATTCCTTCTTCCCAACTAATCCACAAGTTCCCCGTGTCAGGAAGCAAGCAACTGCATGCCTGGCTAGATGACGAATCCAGCCCTCCTGAGGAAGCTGAGTCATGATGGCATCAATCCACGGAAAGCCTGTCCCGCCTTCTGCCCATTTCGCTAAAGCCTCAGAATTTTTATCCCAAGGAATCTGAACACAGACAGGGTTCCCTTCCATTTTATCAAAGCGTACATTATTTGTTGCTGCTGTATAGAAAAACTCACGCCATAGCAGTTGCCCATAAAGGGAAAGGGGAGGAGAACTGCTCTTCTTTACCTTTTGGTAGAGATCTGTTAGTTGGAAGTAAAACAGTCGACATGACAAACAGCCAAATTGGAGATAATGACCAAGTCCCGTAGGGCTTGCAAGCAGAGAGTTTGCATTTATTCAAGGTCTTTCAAAGTTTGCCACGCAAGCTTTTCTTTCCAAATGCCTTTCCAAATGAGTAAGTGCTTCAGTTTCTCCGCCTGGCCACACTGCAGAGGATAAGCCATCTGTATCAAAACCTTGCTCCTCCAGTGAAGAGACTCCATATTTCTCATTATGATCATGAGACAGAGGAGTTGTGCACTTCTCTATCCCTTCTGAAGTAATTGTTGTAACCGAGCGAGCCTGAAATTACCGCTGAGACAAAGACGAGGCCAAATTGCAGGGTTTTTATTGCCGGTGGCCATGGAGAACTCGCGTCTCTTTAACCTGTGGCCCTGAAAGGAGGGTGTTAAGACCTTTAATGCCTGTAAACCACCTCCTGGGCCAGAGTGAGGGAGAAGGGGTTCGGAGATTCCGATTGTTACTTAAGTGGTTCACAGAAGTTAAGATAAGCGTTAGGTTAGTTTACACATTGTTTGGGTAGGGTGGAAATTATAAACCTTAGTTACTTATTATAAGCTGCAAGGGCCAAGATGGCACGGGTTTGGACTGCTTGCCTGTCACATTAGGGTTACAGAGAGCAGTTTCAACTGAAAGCCAAGGTATGGTCGAGGTATGCAGTTTATGGGGCTTTTACCACGTCACATTGTCTCTACTGGTATCTCTAGTGGTTCCATTTTGCTGATGAGAGTCTGGATTCCTTTAATTAGAGGCGGTTGTCCAACATTGAGTTCCATGATCTTGTCTAGGTCATATAATGTACGTGAAATTCTTACAATGACTTCTACTCCAGCTTCAGTTGCCAGTTTTTTAATAGCGGCATCTCGTTCCTTGCCAAAGGGCTCAGGATCATACTCAATTGGAAGTTTAGTAGTGTTCCATTCCTTGAAAAGCCTGGGAAACACATCTGCTGGTTGTGCACGAATCATGAACAGACTGGAGTTTAATTTTCGTAGACTGTCATCAAGATCCTCAAGACATTGAAGCAAAAATCGCCACCTGTGATGCCCACATTGGAGGAGCCAGGGAACCAGGGGTCCCGGACGGAGACGCCGCGCATGGCGTCGGCGCCCCAATGCACGCCTTCAGGGCGGAGTTGTCGTGGAACCAGTGCACGGCGTTCACCCCCACCCCGGGGGACGCGGCGGGTACTTCACAGAGAAATTCCAGACAGGAGGCTCCAGCTCATAACCTTGGCTTCCAGGAGAACTGCCTCACCCCGGGAGTGAGGAAAGGACGGCAGAGGGGTTAGGAAAAAATGACTCGGAAGAGGGGACCGGAGAACGCGCGGGTGCTGAAGGCGCAGTCGGAAGATGAACTGAGGTTGCCCTGTCGGCAGAGTCCGGGTGTGACGCCTTTAAGAGCCCGCGTCCGCTGCCGCCGTCTGGAGGTGACGCGTAACTTCCAGGGCCTCGGACCTCCGGAGCCTGAGCAAGTTCCACGAGCTCGAGCCGCCATGACAGCCCAAGTTCGTCACGGAAACGTCGCTCCACCAAGGCGGCCCCTGAGGACAAAACGGCCCACCCGAGGTGAGTCACTGAGGAGAACAGGAGGGGAGTGAGCCCCTGTCCGCGGCGCTGCTGTCTCTCGGCCCGAGAGAAAGGACCAGGGATGGAGGACAGAGGCGGTGGTTGAGGCCGCTGGACGGCTGCCGGCCGGTGACCCGTCCCGAGGCTGCCCAGGTGACTCTGCTGCTGCCGCGTCAGCGGCCCCAAACATTTTTTAAAACATGCTACATACAAACAAAAAAGGGTAGAGAACTCTCAGAGGACAAAAACAATGAAAAATCTAGACTTCAGAGAATTGGCAGTCTTAAAGCCAACAGCTATCCTGGGGTATCTGTCAACCCTGATGGCTCCCAGGCCTTTGTTTTAATGTGCTTGACATAGGGAAAGAAATCAAAGCACAGGACCTACTCAAGGTGGGAGATCCGGCCAAGACCCCCACACAGAGCTAGGGAGATCCAGCCAAGACCCCCACACAGAGATAGGGACACTGAAGAGCACTCACCATCAAATGGCGACCAAAAAAGCAGCATCGAAGTCAACTCTCCCCACAGAGAGAAAGAAAGGCAACCACCTCAGCCCTGGGTTTCAGGTCCGAAGGGAATAGATGTGATGCTTGCTCTTCAATTTTCTAACCAAAATCCGTTACTATATAGGTTTGAGGCCAGAATATATATACCATCTCTGTAGCCTTCTCAAAACTAAAAAAAATGAACGTAAAACATGTCTTTTGTAAAGCATTTGGCTGGTGCATACCCCAAACCTCTTAAAACACTTAAACTTGGGCGTTAAAGAGTTCTTCTAAATAAACTTTAGATGATTGAAATAAATTTTTAAAATAGATAAAACTCATAAAAAAAACTATGAAAAATATCAGCAGAAACAACAACAAAAAAACTATTTAAGAAATGCTGGAGATCCTTTAATGATAGATACTGAACATAGAATAAGTAGCTTAATGCATTTTAAGAATTAAGTAATTTTAAAATTTGGTCAAGTATTGAAAGTTTATCAAAAAGGGTAAGATCAATCTGAAAGTCTGGAAATAAAATAGGAATTTTAGAAATGATAAATATAGCTGGAAAGTAGAAATGCAATGGATTGTTTAAAGAACAAAAGTATGAGTACTTATTCTATTATTCTTTTACTTTCTTTTGTTTGCTGCAGTATTTCGTAATAAAATAAAATAAAATTATAGTGGACATTTTTTCCTGTTCTTCCATGGCATGTGATAAAACAGAACAGCAAACAAACAACATTTTATTGTATACAAGTGCTTAGTTGTCATGTTTACTAAAAGATGATGTACCTGGAGTGTTCCTAAGTGCCATGTTCACAGAATTTGATCAGCTTGAGGCTTGACTTAAAGTAGTGTGTTCAAGTTGCTCTTTCTGTGGAGTATTTGACTGCAGAGTACCAGAATATGCCACCCCAGAGCATGCCGACTTGGCATTTGGATTATTTTAAACTAAAGTCCATTAAGAACGAGCAGATGCAGGCAAAGCTTTAAAAACAGGGTAGAGTTTTTATTTTGTAAAGGAAAATTACATTTATAAAGGAAATTTTCATTTATGAAAGAAATCTTTCTCACTTGTACCAGGAAGAGGACTCTTAATTATTTTTCAATGGCAATGGCACTGACTTAAATCTGCACAACAAAGCCTACTCAACAACTTTGTTTACCACATTTTTTCCTGGTCACCTACCCATAACTTGCCTCTACCACCTAGAAGCTAAAAAACTCCTTTTCTTTGGTTTAGCTTAAGATGGTATTTAAGCCTAAGTTTTAATCATCCTTTGGGTTTAGTCTTTGCTGGGCACTTCCATTTGTACATGCTCAATGCAAATGATAATAGACTTCTGTTTGCATTTCTCTTCTTAGTTTGTGTGAACCTTAGATTTTAAAAGTATCATTAGGTATAGAGTTTATTTGACTACACACCTGAAAAACACTGACTGAATAAATGGGGTCAGAATTTCCAAAGTGGAGGAGTTAAGGTTTCATTTACATAGGTGCAGACAGAAATATTTCGGTAGGATTACAACATTTTGTTACAGTAGGTAGTCAGACAAACATGATGATCACGAGCCGATGATCACTAGCTTCCCAGTAAGATCTCAGGAGTTGGTGAGTGGTCTCAAGCATGTGCATTAAGAAGCAAAATGACAGGGTTTAACTGGTATACGACCTCCTGGGGGCATTTCATTGGCTAAGGGAAGAATGCTTTGGGTAAGCATGTGTACAGCTCTAGTAAACACACTGTTGGCATGCTCACCTTCCAAGTGCCAGCAGACCATCAGATATGCAGGCAGCCCAGCCCCAAGGGAAGAATCAAGGGAAAAGGGTTGCAAGATGCTGGAACTGTGCCAGCATATAAAACCCTAAGTCCAAGGACTAATGGGACACTTGTCCTCCAAGTTGCTTGTTGGTCCCTCTTCCAAGTGTACTTTACTTTCTTTTCATTCCTGCTCTGAAGCTTTTTAATACACTTTTACTCTTGCTCTAAAACCTGCCTGAGTCTCTTCTTCTGCCTTATGTCCCATAGTCAAATTCTTTGAGGTTGCTGAAGATTCATATGGATTCACCACCCGTAACTTGGATATCCACCACTGTTAGCAATTTCCCATACAAATCCAGGCATATACACTACAGTGACTTGGTTGGTTATAGATTGCACATTTCAAGGAAGATTATTTATACTTTATACATCCATGAAGAGGGATAGTGATCTAGAGGGGAGTCTTTTCTCTAGTTCCATTTGGTCTTAATTAGGTACAGAAAAAAAAGGCAGAAGTTGTGTTACTCACATTGCAAAGCTGCATCCCTTCAAGGCTCAGGGTAATTTCAAGTTTCAGAAGTTTTAAGTTGTAATTATTTTTAGTTGAAATTATTTAATTTTACATTTCCATCAAGATGTTTGGGAGAAATTGTTATAGATACACTCAAATGATTTAGCTCTTTTTATGTTATGGAGCTTAGTCCTACATCATTAGCAAGGTTTATTCAGAGAGTGCCATGTTCTACAGCAGGAGGAACTTTTCAGGCTACAAAGCTGGTGGAATATAAGCCAAAGGTAAAGCAACATGAGAGAAGTGAATTTGTGACCTGTGTCAGGCTATATGGCTACATCTTTAATTAATGTAATTTTTTGAATGGCTATTAGTTTTTTCAGCTGTATATTGACTTCATGGAAAACAAATGCAATAGCAGCAGTGAGGACAAAAACATAACAAAACACAACAAATGATTATAATTCCTAGTATAAGTAATAAGCCACCAGGCTTCCCAAGATCCAAACCAGCTGTTTAGCCAATCATTCAGAAAAGGTGTTAGATCTGAAAGGTTAGTTATTTAGCTTTTCCTATCAGCAATTAATTTAGTAATTTTATCTAATTTATTTGGGATATAGACACAACACTCAGTTTTTATGGTAGTGCAGGTTCTTCCTTGGGCTGCAGTAAGTGTGTCTAAAGCCATGTAGTTTTGTAACACAGCCTTTCTCATAAAATAAACTTCATTGTATAATAATGAAACACGTAGCTGTCATTTCATTTCTTTTTTTGTACAGTTGATTAGGGCCTCTATGTGATATTATACACTCAATACCCACTTGTGGAAAAAAGATGGAAGCTAAATTATCATATTAAATACCTAAGTTATTGATACCTAAATGATTAATGCCAATGGAATATAGAATGAACCCAATGAGATGGTAAAACAGGAAGATATGTGGGCTTTCAAAGGGTATTTTACCTTGTCCTGAAGCATAACCTAAAGAACATCATCCTAAGCATCATAGTGGTAACTGTGGTCATGGACTGGCACTGCACGCCAAGGCATTTTATTTGGAGCTAGCGAATAATTGCCTGCTCACTGTGCCCGTTCAGTGGCAGTCAATTAGTAATTTGTAATTGAATGATGTGGACACACTGTTTTTTAAGACTCTATTTCATATTTTTAGTGTTATTGGGCCACGTAGTTTTGGTGTGATTCTTTTGTAAGAATATAAAAGGGCAAGCTGACCAAGCTGACCAAAAGAGAGGGTAAAGCAGGTCAAACTGTTCCAAATGTGTGTTGCACGATTTTGAAATCCAGTTGTATTATCTTTCAATTGGAGCAGCTATGAGAGTGAAAGCTAACAAACTGGTCTCTTATACAGGAAAGCTCTTCCCATGTCCTTTGTTTTGTAAAGTGTTTAATAGGCCAGTGATGTACCTAAGTCTTAGTCTTACTGATGTTAAGTCTTACTGATGATTGTTTTGAGAAACATGGATCTATTTCTGATGTTCTATACAATCTTGTTCTTGGTAAGGGGATACCCACTATGGTAGGCTAGGATAACCAGAGAGGTACATGAGATAACAAACCCAACAAATATTCCTGTAATATATTGGCATAGTCCTCAGAGGTTTGTTTCATGGGCAACAGCTGGTGATAATACCAATAAAACATAAGAACTAGCAACAAAAAGAAAGAAATTTGGTAGGAACTTTCCTATCTACTAACAATGATCAATATTGTGTTTATTTAGATACAGGCCTGGGCTGAAGTGTTG